CAGTGTCTGGCAGCTTTACAAATGCTATGCAACCTTGGGAAGCTATGTTCTCTTTTTTAGTTGGTTTTACACTGGAAAGGCGGTATATGTCTTTTCTCCTTCCCTCATTCAATATTACTTCTTGGAATAGAATTACCGTGAAACGAGGAGTAATGGTAGTTCGGAATAGGAAACCTGATCTGAACTACCTAGTCCGTGCCGCGTGTAGCCGCACGGCACGGAGTCCGCACTAGCGGACATTTAAAAATGGCGGCGCCCAGCTTTATGCAAATGAAGCCCGGGAAATTCAAATCCCGGGCTTCATTTGCAACTCCAGTTGCCTACATTACCACCCTAGTTCAAACTAGGGTGGTAGTGTAGACATACCCCTGAGGAGCATATAACTCTTTGTGAATTATGCTTCCTTCAAAGGAAACCAAGGACAAATATACTAACCCCATGTTGGACTAGAATGTTAAACATTGAAAAGCATTCATTAGAAAGATTTTGTAAAGTGGCGATGTAGTATTATGGACTACTCACATCCCTGAAAGAATCCAAGTGTCAAAATCATTCCCAAGACAGTGTTATACTTAAGCTTGGTATTCAAAACAACTTTCTCAGGTTTTTGGTGTAAATATAATGGAGTGGCTGAAACAAGATTCAGTTTATAGAGTTAATGAATAGAAGGTAAGCTGAAAAAACTTGCTATCTTTTCTTGATGAGATTAGAGCTATACTATATAAAATTAACATGGCACAAATTAAATAGGTTAAAAAGGAGCTAACTGAAAGGTCCCTAATTGTAAAAGGAGAATTATTGCTGAGCAGGCATGCTTCCAATATGATCCTGCAGGGATTAAATTCAATTAAATGGCTCTATACTACAGGTTGAACATCTCTTAATGTGGACTCACTGGTCCAGCAACGTCCCTGCTCTGGCAAGACCATGCATGTCCCAGGAACAGAGAGTTCTGGTGGAGGGCTGGTGGCTGGGAGCCCTGCAGCAGGGCTAGAGCACTGTGGCAGCGAAACAGGAGTCCAGCAGTAGGGCTGCTGCCCAGTGGCAACACTTCAAGGGTCAGGAGGCAGTGGGGCTGGAGCCCAGCAGCACAACTAGGAGCCCAGCAGTCCCACTGCTGCCAAGTGGTGCAGCTGCCCGACAGAACTAGAAAGCATGGGCTGGAAGCCTGACCATTGAGCTGCATGGTGGTGAGGCCAGGAACTGGGAATGGGGCTGCCCGGTGCTGCAGCAAAGAGCTGCCACCTGCGGAACTGCCTATTGAGGCTGAGAGGCAGCAGAGCTGTCAACCGAGGCTGAAGCCAAAGCGGTGCTGTCGCCCAGTGATGCAGCTGACCCCCAGTAGGCTGGCAGCGAGGCTATGGTTGGGTGGGGGTGGTAATGGGAGCTCCAAAAATGACTTTCTCTAGTCTAGCAAAATCCCTCATCTGGGACCGGTCAGGTGTTGAGGGTGCTGGACCAAGGAGTTCCAACCTGTATTTGACACTTCTATCAGTGATCTGGAAGAAAACCTAAAATTATCATGAAAAGGTGTGCAAATGACATAAGAATTGGGAGCATGATAAATGAAGATGACAGGCACTGATTTAGTGTGATCTGGATCAGTTGGTAAACTGAGCGCAAGAAAACATTATGCATGTTAATGTGGCTAAATGTATACAACAAACAAAGAATGATACAGAATAGAGGATTTTGTCCTGGGAAGCAGTGACTTTGAAAAAGATTTGACAGTTATGGTGCTTAATCGTAGCACCAAAATTTCCAAACATGAGCTCCCAGGCTGTGACCAAAAGAGCTATTGCAATCCTTGGTGTGGGGGTCACTCTAACCTTGGCGTAGTGTGGGGAGAGTGCTCCAGCCCAGCGGTGCTAGAGAAGCCTTCTCTGCCCACCCTGTTTAATCAGTGAACTGGTTAAACATAATGTTTAATCTGTTAACTAATTAAACAGGATTTTACATCCCAAGTCAGA